AGGGCCGAGGAGCACGAGGCGGCGCCGGGCTGCAGGGCGTGGCGGTTGGCACGAGGTTTGACAAGGAGGGGGAGATGGAGATGGTGTTGCTGCACAAGGGGAGGGTGCTGCCGTTTGTGGGCGACGGAGGATGCGGAGATGCGGAGCGGGGAGGATGACCGAGATGCGGACCATACGGCTTCTTCTTCTTCTTCCTCTGCCAGCTTATGCAGAATCCATAGATTCCGACAAACAACGGACTGAGTTGGTGTTGCTCAAGACCCGAGCTGTGTACTATACAGCTGTTTTTCGCTTCTTCCTCGTCTCCAACCAGCTTATGCAACATGGATGGATTCTGACAAAACAACGGATCCAAACTGGGATTAGTGTCAAGATCTGCGGACGGACAGCTTGGTAACAGCCGCGCGCGACTCGCATGAAATCCAATGTTGGTTTTGTATATACATCTCAAACAAACTAACCCGGAGCTGACAAGTCCCGATCTGCTGAGCCGGTGTGGGCAAAGTGGTTGGTGGGGGAAGCTTCCCCACGTAACGTTGGATTATTGATCTTGGAGCTGTCCTTACAAATCAACATGGCCCGCCCCGGTTTCGATCCTACGGGCTCTGAGCGGGTGGGATAGGGGCTACTACTGGTAGTTGGAGAAATAAAATACATAAAGTACATAAATACAGCTTAAAGGTTCAAAGACAAGCTTTGTGACAAGAACCGTGTTGTATCGCTGGTATCCAGACATATCTAGCTAACTAGGTCCGTTAGGTACTCATGTTAAACTTTTTGCAAGTAACCCAATTTTTAATTCTTTTTGCAAATTATAGCATAGCCGAGGACTCAATAAGCACAAGAAGCCACGCAGCCACAGTCCATATACCCAGGGGCGAACAGCCGGGCGATCAATATTGGTTTCTGCATCCTCCGCCGCCGGCTGTCCCGTCCTTGACTAATACCATATCCCACCAACATCGCGTGCTTGCGTAATCTACACACCCAGCCATCCCGCGCCCCAAACCCCCCTCTTCCCAAGGATCTCAGAAAACCCTTTGGCCGAACAGTTGACTTGCCAGGGGTTGCTCTTTTTGCCCTGCCGAATTGTGCCCGAGTTTCCGTCGGTAGACATGGATGGAGCTAGTGCTCGCGCCTTGCATCATGGACCGAGCCATGTGTGTGTGTGTGGCCGCATGCAATGGATCGGAAGCCCCTCAATTGAGCTGATTTGAGGAGAAGCTCTGGCGTAGTTTCAGAGCGTCGAGAGGGACGTCAATGTTGCTTTTGATTGAAAAAAGTATAAAGCTAGCCTGGCTACCCTCCCCCGCCCTGTCCTGTTCAATTAATCACGTCCGCATCTCATCTCTTCTTTCACCTACACAGCCAACATGTCTCTCAAGCCCATTACCGTCTACAACCACGGCAAGTGTTGCCTCTCACATACCCTGACAAATGGTCATGAGTGCCGCCCAGCTAACAAAGTCGCGACGCAGCCCGTGGCCCCAACCCCAAGAAGCTCAACATCATTCTGGAAGAGCTCAACGTTCCGTACACGCTGGTGAGTTTATACCGTGGCTTCGCGCGCCCTCTAGGAACGTGTTTTGACCAACGACGGACCAGATCGATATTGAAAACCCAAAAGACGAAAAGTTCCGCAAGATCAACCCCAATGGCCGTCTCCCCGCCATCGTCGACCCCAACAACAACAACCTCACCCTATGGGAGTCAGGCGCCATTGCCGAGTACCTCGTCGAGACCTACGACAAGGACAACAAGATCAACGCCACTGATCCCGCCGACAAGTGGCACCTGAAGCAGTTTCTGCACTTTCAAATGTCCGGCCAGGTAAAGCACAAAGGACCCTTGATACCAGCGTGACCCGTTTCTAACAAGCCGAAACAGGGCCCGTACTACGGTCAGGGTGTCTGGTTCCACAAATTTCACGCCGAGGACGTGCCCTCGGCCAAAAAGCGTTATCTCGAGCAGATTGAGCGCGTCTGGAGCGTCCTGGACGACCTCGTCAAGGGCAAGGACTATCTCCTCGGCAGCAAGCTGTAAGTTTATCCCCCGCCACCACCTGGTGCGCAAACATGTCATGTTGACGATGCCCCCTCGCAGGACCTATGTCGACCTCTGCTTCGTCCCCTGGGAGTTTGTCGCGCACAGCTTCCTCGGCGAGGACCTCAAGGCCGCGGGCTATGACGCTGAGAAACAGTACCCCAACTACTGGGCCTGGTACCAGCGCCTGCTGGCCCGTCCCTCGGTCAAGAAGACCTACGGCCTGTAAGGGTAGTAACCGATGGCGTAAAAGGAAGCGCGCGATGCTATACGGCATCTTTGCAGCACGTTGTTATGTCAAAATAAAGAAATCAAAGAAAATCAGTGTACTCGTTCGTGGTGCATATGCATTTCGCATACCGTGAAGCATCGTAAATAGACAACCCCGCAGCTAATCCTCCCACACCGACGCCTTTGCCCTCTCCGATGCATCTGCCTTTTGCTGCTGCTCGGAGCGCCCCTCGTCCCTGCGTTTCTTCTCCTGCTCCCGCACCGACTTTTGGTACGCCCGCTGCTCGTCCGTCTGCGGGGGCGCCTTGAGACCTAGCCCCGCGACAATGAGCCTGCGCGCCACCGCGTCCGTCTTTTCCGGCCGGCGCTCATCGCGCGTTGCTGACCGCGAGTCCTCGCGACCGCTCCAGACGTCTGGTGGGCCAAAGAAAGGCGTGGACGGGTGCGCGACGGAAGCTGTCTCGGCTGGCGTGGCGGCCTTGGGCGCTGTCGGCTGCTCGGTCTCGGACACGTCGTCCTCGTCGTCCTCGTCCTCGTCCTCCCAAGAGTCGGCCACTTGTTCCTTGGCTTTGGTCCTCTGGCCGAGCTTGTCCTTGTTGAGGCTCAGACTAGAGCTCGCCTCATTGGTGTTGGACGCCATGACGGATAGATGAGCGACGCAGGTGAAAGGGATGGAAATGAAGAAAAAAGTGGCTCCTGCTCTCAACACGATCTAATAAGCTCAACTATACTTCAAGCTAGGCGAAATATCGTCATTGAAAGCACTGCCCGTCGATGATGCAAGATGTAGGTACCCTAGACTAATTGGGTGCGTGGCCCGTTGCAGCAACCCGCTCCAGTAGCACCTCCAGTGGCTACAGCGGTACGTTTACCGAGATGATTGCGGCTGTTGAGCCGGGTTTTAGCCGATGGAAGCTTCTCTGGAAATTTGCGCTAGAGCTCGGCGACTTGGCCCGCCCAATTGCATTATTAAGACATCACTCTGTACTTAGGCACATGCGCTCCTACGTAGCACGCCACCTCCATCATTCAACAACGGCACGGCTTGCTCTTGGATCAATTCTCATCATAGCCGGCCCTCTGCTCGTCCGGGGCTCAGAAATCGTCCCGAAAACATCCATTGGACCCTGCCTGGCTACGCTCTCCCCATCCCCTTGTCCTTTGACACCCGCAATTCTCGAGATCCTCGTGAGTGCTCCGAGCCAGCTCTCGGAGCTCCTCAATCCGCACCGCATAACATCGCCGCCATGATCCCGCGCTCGCGCGTCTCCGGGCGTCTCCTGCTCAGCCGCTCGACCGTGCGCACCGCGCCGTCGACGAGTTTGCGAATAGTCGCCGCCGGCTTCCCTGCCGTCGCTCGCTACACACAACAACACGCCGCCCGCGCTCGGAGATGGCAGCCCGCGCCCGCCCAACACCGCATAACCGCGCTGTATTTTTCAACCTCGACCCTCTTGAGTAAAGAAAAGGACAAGCCGAGCAAGTTTTTCGACTCGTCGGCCGAGCCCGAGACCACCGAGCCGCTCTCCGAAGAAGAGGTCAAGGCCAACCTCGAGAATAAGAACAAGGAAGCGGCCGCCGCCGAAAACCCCGCAAGCGAGCCCAAGGACGCCGACACCGACGCCAATATTTCGGCAAAGAGCGATAATACTGCTTCGCAGGTGCAGGAGAACAAGGCTGGTAGTAGCGCGGCCGGTGCTGCGGGTGCTGGCTCCGGTGACGGCTCTGGTGACGGAGGCAAGCGAGGACGCAATAAGTCTTCAGAAAAAGCCCTGCAAAAACCTGTTGTGCCTGATGTCTACCCACAAGTGCTAGCTATCCCGATTGCTCGCCGACCGCTGTTCCCCGGATTCTACAAGGCCATCACCATCAAAGACCCCGATGTCGCCACCGCCATTACCGAGTCGATTAAGCGCGGCCAGCCGTACGTCGGTGCTTTCCTCTTCAAGGACGAGAATGAAGACGAAGACGTCATCCGGAATGTCGAAGATGTATACGACGTCGGCGTTTTTGCCCAGATTACGAGCGCCTTTCCCATCCACGGCCAAGAAGGCGCCCTTACTGCGATCCTATACCCTCACCGCCGAATCAAGCTCTCCAGCCTCGTACCCCCGACACCTCAGCAACAACAGCAGGACGCTACAAAGGTAGAAGCAAAGAAGGAGCCTGAAGTGCCGGAGCCCATCCCCGCAAAGGCTAGCACCGAGGAAGCAACCGCCACCGATAAGAAGGGTGACGTTGTCGCCAGCTTCGAAGAGACGGCTGTCGACAAGAAGCCGGACCAAGTTGCAGAAAAATACGAACCCACCTCATTCCTCAAGAAATACCCCGTCAGCCTGGTCAATGTAGAGAACCTGGCAGACGAACCCTACGATCCCAAGAGCCCCGTTATTCGGGCTGTCACCAACGAGATTGTCAACGTCTTCAAGGAGGTGGCTACAATGAACAACCTGTTCCGGGATCAAATCTCCACATTCTCCATGAGCCAATCCACTGGCAATGTGACTTCGGAGCCGGCCAAGCTGGCGGATTTCGCCGCCGCCGTTTCGTCCGGAGAGCAGACCGAATTGCAAGAGGTTTTGGGCTGCATGAATGTTGAGGAACGCATGCAAAAGGCGCTGATTGTGCTCAAGAAAGAGTTGATGAATGCTCAACTACAATCAAAAATTACAAAGGATGTCGAGAGCAAGATTAGCAAGCGCCAACGCGAATACTGGCTGATGGAGCAGATGAAGGGTATTCGCCGCGAGCTCGGGCTCGAGTCTGACGGCAAGGACAAGCTTGTCGAAAAGTTCAAGGAAAAGGCTAACAAGCTGGCCATGCCTGACGCCGTGCGCAAGGTCTTTGATGAAGAGGTTAACAAACTCGCCCACCTTGAGACTGCTGCTTCGGAATTCAACGTTACAAGAAACTACCTGGACTGGCTGACGCAGATCCCTTGGGGCCTGCGAAGCGCTGAGAACTTTGGCATTCCCAATGCGATCAAGGTTCTTGACGAGGATCACTATGGTCTTCAGGATGTCAAGGACCGTATTCTGGAGTTTATTGCCGTCGGCAAGCTGCGAGGTTCCGTCGAAGGCAAGATTCTCTGCTTTGTCGGTCCTCCGGGTGTGGGCAAGACGAGTATCGGCAAGTCTATTGCTCGCGCGCTGAATCGTGAATACTACCGCTTCAGTGTGGGTGGCCTTACAGATGTTGCTGAAATCAAGGGTCACCGCAGAACATATGTTGGTGCTCTGCCGGGCCGCATTATCCAGGCTTTGAAGAAGTGTCAGACTGAGAATCCTCTGATTCTCATTGACGAAATCGACAAGATTGGCCGTGGCTACCAGGGCGATCCCTCCTCTGCTCTACTAGAACTACTCGATCCCGAACAAAACAGCTCGTTCCTGGACCACTACATGGACGTGCCCGTCGACCTGTCCAAGGTCCTCTTTGTCTGCACTGCAAACATGACTGACACCATCCCGCGACCGCTGCTCGACCGCATGGAGCTGATAACTCTCTCCGGCTACGTTGCGGACGAGAAGAAGGCCATTGCCAACAAATACCTGGCGCCCGCCGCCAAAGAAGCGGCCGGTCTCAAGGACGCCAAGGTGATTCTTACCGACGAAGCCATTGAGGAGCTGATCAAGGCCTACTGCCGCGAATCGGGCGTGCGCAACCTGAAGAAGCAGATTGAAAAGGTCTACCGCAAGTCTGCTCTCAAGATTGTGCGGGACCTCGGCGAGGACGCTGTCCCTGAAGAAGAGGCGCTGACGGAAGAGGGCAAGGAGGCCGCAGAAGAGTCTGCCAAAAAGGCTATGGAAGCCTCCCAGTCCGAAGGCAAGGAACAGCCCAGCACGGAAGCCAACGAGAAGGAGACAGTCCAGAAGCCGCGCGCGGCCCTCAAGGTACCCGACTCGGTCGAAGTGTCCATTGGCAAGGACAACCTGACGGACTACATTGGACCTCCCGTCTTCACGTCGGACCGTCTCTACGAAGTCAGCCCTGCCGGTGTCGCCATGGGCCTGGCCTGGACGCAGATGGGCGGCGCGGCTATGTATATCGAGTCCATCCTTCAGTCGCCTCTGCGCCAGAGCACGCGCCCCGGCATGGAGATTACCGGCAACCTCAAGTCTGTGATGAAGGAGTCGACCGCCATTGCCTACTCCTTTGCCAAGTCGTTCATGGCGACGCAGTTTCCCGAGAATGACTTTTTCGAAAAGGCCAAGATGCATCTGCACGTGCCCGACGGGGCAGTGCCCAAGGATGGGCCGTCGGCGGGCATCACGATGGCGACGTCGCTGCTCTCGCTCGCGCTCGAGGCGCCCGTGAACCCGACGGTGGCCATGACGGGCGAGCTGACGTTGACAGGCAAGGTGCTGCGCATCGGCGGCCTCCGGGAGAAGACGGTGGCGGCGCGCCGCGCGGGCTGCACGACCATCATATTCCCCAAGGACTGCATGTCGGACTGGCTCGAGCTGCCGGCGGCCATCAAGGAGGGCATCGAGGGCCATCCGGTTGAGTGGTATAAGCAGGTGTTTGACCTCGTCTTTCCGGATCTGGATCTTGTCAAGGCCAACGCGAGTCGGGTGATTCAGGACGGCAAGAAGGAGCGCGAGGCGGACGACTAAGGTTTGCCACTGAAATGGGAGCTGCCAGAGTGAAGAACCATGGAAGGCTCTGCCTGAAAGAAGCTGTACGATACGATACAAAGGAGAGACCAGGCATCTGTTCGTCACACCCGACATGTCATAATCAACTGTGGACGGTTACGCAACTCCAAGAACTTGAACGTCTGAACAGGGGAGCTACGTCAGAAGAACCTTGCGAGGGTTAAAAAAAGAGAACTTGACCCTGCGCGAGTCACACGACGGTAGCTTGCATGATCTTTTGTGACGTTTGCGTGTGTGTGTGTGTGTGTGTGTGTGTGTGTGTGTAGTTGGTCGCTGCACAGCTGTGTGGTACCCCGGCATCACAAACGGCCAGCCGTGCCTGGTGGCTGGGAGAAGAGGGTCACTTGTTGGAAAAACGCATGGCTAGGAAAAAAAAACCACTTGCATGCAGGCAACAACGAAAAAACGACGACACAAAGAACAAGGCATTCTAGATGCATGGGCGGTTTCCATGCCGTTACACAACAAACCCCCCTCCACCCCTCCCCCAAAAAGACGACTTTGCTATGTCTTCATGATGGATTATCTAGACATGTTTTTTTTATCCCTTTCATGTCTGTTTTTCTATTCTTGCATAAGATGGTGAGAAAATCAAGTGTATTTTTATATTGAATGATGGGAGAGGAAATGCAAAGGAAACAGAAAGAAAGGTTGATTTTGCAGTATTTAGAATCTCTTGCAAGGAATAATTAGCACCTGAATAAACATTTAGACATTTTTTTCTTTTCCCTAATATTTTTCTCCTTTTCTCTTTTATTATTATTTGCGACTGCGCCGCTTTGGCTGGTGCCTACTAATGAATGACACATTCAGCACTGCGCGACAGGTGCTGCACCGCACGCCTGGGGGGGCCTGACGGCTGCACTACGCCGAATTACATCATGATATCTGCAAGTGCACTGGAGAAAAGGCTCGCTCACACGCACAGGTTGGTTTTACTGTGCAACGTCGAGTGGCAGAGATGGCGGAGCAAAGGCCGCACACGCATTGATTTGTACAACCAGGCCATGGTTTTTTTTTTGTGTGCTGCACTCACCGTTTACGTTTACAAGATGGAGCTCATGGGGAGCCAGTCAGGGCTTGACCCGGCACAAGGGAAAGGGAAAGAAAGGGACGAAAAAACAGGGCCGATGCAGCGGGACGTGCCTAGCTTGTGAGGAGGAACCGTATCCGCTTTCTGGAGCTTGTTGTGTTTTGAGTATTCGGGGCGGTGACAAGTTATTGGTTCCGTTGACCGCTCACTGCTTGACTGGACAGTGCCCTCGGTAAGTACATTTATATGGTAGGAACCAATAAGGAAGTAGTTAGCTCGTCACTATTTTGGCTGAACCACGCTACCATAGAATCAAAAGAAAGCCTAGAACGCCGCTAAGCTCAGATTCGAGGTTGAATGGTCGTCCCGAGACAGGAATGACAAAGCGATGCTGTGAGGTTGGCAAGCGCCAGCGCCACCTAATGCACGTCTACCCGATACTGGGGACTGCGTCGGGCGCCGCCTTGCGCGAGAACCCAAAGCGAGCCTTACCGGGGCCATAAAAAAAGCAACCGCACCAGCTCTTCTTGAGGAAAAGCGAATATGGAAAGGAACCGATGCGCCACGTGTGTGGGAGTCTGACGTGGTTAAATCCAACGCCAACCACGTCGGTATCAACTAGTGTTGACCTCCACTTGGCCCGCATAACAAGTACCTACCTAGAGAGCGTCGTTGGGCACGCATGCGAAGGAGTGAGCCATGCTGGCCGGGAACTTTATGCTGCTTGGGAGCGTAACTAGAATGACGCGAGGCAAAAAAAGCAGCATCAACACTCGGTCCTTTTCGGAGACGGACGTTGCATGTACGAGACGAAATTCTGCCTAGATGCTGCTGCAGGGTTCACGGATATGGCTTCTAGATAAAGCCTATGGCGTCGGCACAGACTCCTGCACGCCCAGTCTTGTGTGATACGGCAGCTCCGGCTGGATAAGACACGATCGACCTTTTGGTCTTCTCGGTGTAAGAGGAGGGGGATCTGCACGGGCGCTAGGGACGGACGACCTGGTCAAGTGCCGGACCCCGATGCGGAGTCGGGGGCCGCGTGGGATTAAGACGAGGGGCGAGGTGTCTTATAGAATGATTCGAACGTTGTTGCGGCACGACTCATCTAGAGCAGTGATGACACCTAACTCTCCGCGCAGCCAATCGACGCCGAGCTTTAAGTAGATGGAAAACGTGGTTGGGCTCGGGACGTATCACATCCGAGACTGGCCGTGAGCGCGAGAAGCATTAAACGTACGGGGTCGAAGTTTTGGTGCGATGCTTGTGTAAGATTCATAGGGTCATCGCACGATACGGCGCTTGGTCGTGTCCATGCGAGGCACATGTGGTTGTGCCCGTTGCAGGTAGCCAAGATTGGCGAAATGTAGCACGGGTCAGAGGACAGACATTGGCTGTGTACTTTATAGTATCGATAATTGACGGGTGTAACGCACATCCAAGTCAGTGGCCATACGGACTCGTCGTCTCGCAAATGGTGTCGATAGCGCCGTGGCTTGTAGGAGCAGAGTTTATTTGGGTCTGGCAGGGCGGGGAGGCGGCATCGTGCAGGGGACGGCAGCGGCATCATTTTAGTGTAATGTTAGTGAGGTGGGAAGTTAGGAGGCGGTGGCTTCGCTTGATGGTCGAACGAGCCGCGAATGGAAGAAAGGACAGAAAGAAAGAAAGCAAAAAGAAAGAAAGCAAAAAGAAGGAAGGCAAAGAAGAAATAAACGAAGAACAAAGAAGAGGCAGTTTCCATGCAGGATTGTCAGATGCAGTAAGAGGTGGGATGGAGAGACTGCAACGGCTGCAGGTTGTTCGGTGGAAGCGACCGTTTCTGAGGCCCGTGGTCCGTGGAGGGACAACGAGAGAGAGGCCACGCACCGCCGGCCAAGCTGTGCGACGGGAGGCGACGGGAGGAATGGAGGGCATGCGTCTCTAGTAATACTTATTTAGTTATTTAGTTACCTGGGTACTTAACAGCTCGAGGTCTTTTTATGATTGTTCGCGCGCAGTCGCTGCTAGTCATTGTGGCGTTGGTGATGATGTATCTTATGACTGGCACGCAGGAACTGTTGCTACCCGTTTGCTTGGGCGCGCCCGTTTGTGGTCAACCCCACTTGTGCCCGCCTCCCGGTCCGTGCCAGCTGCCAGCCAGCTAACCAGCCGCCACGTTTCCCCTCGTCTGCCACCCGTGCACACCCCAGCCAGTCAGTGTACAACCTGCCCAGCCCCCCCTGTCGACTGCAATTTTTAATTCATTGATTCGTGATTTTTATCAAATATCATTTCTTATTAAAAAAAAAAATTAGTTATTGTTTTTTTTTAAATCACCACCCCGAAACGTTTGGTACCTCTTCAGGTCTAGATTTTCGCTGGTGCAACCGCCTGACTCTCGACACCCTCCAGGTACCTTCTTTGGCCTCCAGCTTGCATTCACTCTCCTCTCCTGTCACAAACTGCTTCTTCGTCTCTTCGTCTGCCTATTCTACGACCCGCGTGAACACTTTGTGCTACTCACCCTTTACCCCTCTTCAACATATATCATTACCGATTTCTACCTCTCTCTCTTTCTTTTGATTCTCCCTTCATCTTCGACTCCCTCTCCGCTTCCTCGAAAATACGCGCCCCGGTCTCTCGTCAGCCTGGTCTAATACCGAGTACGCCAGACCCTTGCCAGGGGAATAGACGGTCAGCAGTTCTGCCTGCCTGGCTTCGCCCTCCGCCCAAGCGCCCAAGCCAGTACCACACCGTCGCACATTTTTCCCTCCCCGAGCAAGATATTCTCCTTACCTACCGAGTATACGTGAATTGTTTCCATCCGCCTTGCTGCTCACCCCGCACTACGTCTACATGGAAGCTTTGCAATTCGCCCTCCAGTCATTGCACAAGTTCTCGCACTGCTGCCTCTTTTGCGCTCGCCGTCCCTCACTCGTCAGAGTCGTGACCCCTGGCTGCCTCTCAGAGATATAGCTCACCACGATTCACATGTCCAAAACAGCCCATTAATCACGCCGTTGCTCTTGTGAACCAATAACAACTTCGCTCACTCGCCCTGTCGCTGCGACTCCGCGCCTGCTGTCTCGTCTCTTTTGTACGGAGCACTTGTTCATCGTCACAAGCCACGACCCGCCGCACTCGCTGCCATGGCGGCCCAACCAGACGATGACTCCAAGTGCCCTCCCGTATATTATGATCCAGACCAGGCCATGCTGCAGCTCCTGCAGGCTGCGCATCCTCATCTTGCGTCCCAGAAACCTGTGCAGACCGTGCAAACATCCCAGACTTCGCAGGCTTCGCAGGCTTCGCAGCGATTGCAGCTTTCACAACCGTCGCAACCATCGCAACCATCGCAACCATCGCAACCATCGCAACCATCGCAACCTTCCCCGTCGTTGCCTCACGTCTCAGACCCCGTACCACCACCCATCAACCACGGCAGCATTACCTCAGATAACCGCAGCAGCCCCGCGGCCTTTACTCCGTCTTCAACCCAAGACAACGCCCAAGACAACTTTCGCAGAACGCAAAGAGAGGTAGTTCCCGGCTTGCCAAGAACCCAGACTCTAAAGCGCCAGCTATCGGAGCGCAGAGAGAATCTTACACCTGTAGAGATGCTCGCAGAGGAGCGTCGTGCTGTCTCGTCCGAAATCAAATCCCCCTTCAGTCTTCTCACGGGTCGCGATGGCGCTTCCTTCGCCACTCCGAGCGCCTTTGACTCGGCCTTTGACCACTATAGCGACCTTGCCTTCTCCCGCACATCATCTCCCCGCCTTCTCGAAGATGAGGAGCTCCCGGATTCCGAAGACGAAGATGAGCCCCCAAGAAAAGCCCCCAAACCTGTGCCTCCTCCAAGGCTGCAGCCTGGAGTCACTCTGATCCCAGGGACCAACCTGCCCGACACGACTAACATGCCTCGTGAGGAGTACGAAGCCCTTATCCGGAACGAGCTGGAAAATATTTGGATCCTAAATTTGAGCATGCACTTTCGCGATCATTCCATGAGAGAAAAGTTCTTTCTCACATACCGTGAACGAGATACGCTGTGGCGCAGAGTGACCATCTCTTTGGACTATCGAGATGCCCCGCCAGATTCGCTCGAGGGTGAACTGGCCCACATGACTCTTCAACGAGACAAGAGTGCCAAAATCTACGAGAGCCTCCGTGACAGCTTGGCAGACATTCAGTTTTATGACAACTCCACAAATCTCATGCTCAAGACTAGCGACGGGCGTTTGCATGTACATGTGGTTGAAGATGCAAATGTAAGTGTTCAATATATACTCGCTATCCTACCTACTTGCTAATCGACTTAGGAAAAAATTGACTATCCGCGAGTTGCGACTTTGCAGCACCTCAACTGCTTAATGGTTAAAGAGTGCGATATTGTCTTTGACTCCCACATGTCCGGCTTTGTCTACAAAATTCGCGTCGGAGATGAAGTCATGGTCAAGAAAGAGGTCCCAGGTGCCGAAACAGTCGAAGAGTTTCTTTACGAAATCCATGCCCTCCACAGTTTGCAAGACTCTAATCACGTAGTTCGCTTCAGAGGGCTCGTCACCGATGACGATGGCGAGTTTGTCAAGGCTCTACTTATCGACTATTGCCCCAACGGCAATCTGATGGATAAGATTTACGACGATTGCAAGACGACATATCTTGGTATACCCTGGCGCAAACGTGAGCGCTGGGCCCGCCAGATCATTCACGGCGTCTCCGATCTTCACGAATCAGGTTTTGTCCAGGGCGACTTGACGCTCGCCAACGTCGTCTTGGACGACAAGGAGAATGCCCGAATTATCGATGTCAACCGCCGCGGTTGCCCCCTCGGGTGGGAACCGCCTGAGGCTAAGCCGCTGTTAGAATCAGGCCAGCGCCTCTCGCTTTACATTGGGGTCAAATCGGATCTCTTCCAGCTCGGCATGGTCTTGTGGGCTTTGGCCATGGAGGAAGATGAGCCGGAAGGCCACGGCAGGCCGTTGCTTCTGGGCCCAGAAGTCAACGTCCCTGATTGGTATAGGCAAATCACCGAGATCTGCCTCAGCCACGATCCGCGATCTCGCCTTATGGCGTCTCAGCTACTCACTATGATTCCAGAGCAATCCTTTGCACCCGCCTACAGCCGCATCGCTTCGCGACCCGCCGTAGAGCACAGCCATTCTCCCCGTGAATTGTCCGGAGAGAGTGCCCCCAACCTTGCCACTAGCGACGACACCAATACTGACATAGCGTTTCTCCCCCAGCGCGGCCGTTCTCCGCCGAGTCCCATGCCGAGTGACTCGTCTCGCCAGCAAAACACTGGCTGGTCTGCCAATGTTCCCGTTGCAGCATCTTATGATGATATGGCAGCTAAAGCTAAGCGCTATCTGGATGCTAGCCGGAACAGAAAGTCGATGCCAACGCCTGAATCCGAGACCCTCGCGCAGAAGCATCAGGCTCAGCAGCTCCAGCCCTCACCGCCGCCACAGCAGCAACAACATCAGCCGCAGCAACGTCAAATTTCTCAGTATGAAGTCCAACATCAGCAAGCACAGCAGCATCAGACTCAGCATCAGGCTCAACACCAGGCCCAGCAACATCACCAGGCTCAGCAGCACCTACCGCTTCAGCTGCCGCCGCCGCCGCCGCCACCGCAGAAGCAACAATATCAGCCGCAACAACATCAAATTTCTCCACAGCAGCAGCAGCAAGCTCAGCAGCAGCAGCAAGCTCAGCAGCAGCAGCAGGCTCAGCAGCAGCACCTACCGCTCCAACCGCTGCCGCCGCCGCCGCAGCAGCAACAGCACCAGTCGCCCCAATATTATCTGCCGCAGCATCAAATTTCTCAGTCTCAGGTTAAGAAACGTCCAACCCAGCAACCCCAGCCACCACATTATTCGCCACAGCAGAACCAGCCGCAGCAACATCACCTCCAGCCCCACCCTCATCAGTATCAACATCATCAGCAAACAAACCTGGCACCACCTCGATCGTATGATCCAGAACGCAGCTTTCTGGATGAGGCCAGCAAAGCCTCCGCGACCCCGCCTACGTCGTTTGCAGCTATGCCTCCCCCGATGCAACCCACTTCTCCGAATTCGAGTACACCTTTGAATCAGCTGGGATATCCAACGCAAGCCAGCCCTTCCAAGCAACGTTCACCCTCGAACCAGTTCAGACCTCCGCATCAACCTGCCCCTTCGAAGCAAACTACACCTTCAGATCAGTTCAGGCCTCCAAAGCAGCCCACCCCTCCGAAGCAACGCACGCCTCCGATTCAGTTCAGATGCCCAACGGAAGCCAGTCCTCCGAAGCAAAACACATCTCCGAACCAGTTCACACGCTTGAAACAACTCACGCCTCAAAAGCAGCCAACACCTCCGACACAAACTTCTATGTATCTGCAAACCACCGATAGCGGTATCGCCATGTGGTCACCTAGCGAAGAAACTGTCGCCTATCCCGGTAGCACCTCCCCGTCCCATGATCTTACCAAGAAGATTAACGATGAATTGTTTGAAGATCTGGAACGTAATGGAGCAGCCAAATCGGCTCTGGAAGCCATTTTTGGGTTTCACAAAACCGACCACTCAGCCGTGGCTCAGTCGACGGCACATCTGAACAACGCTTCCTCCGTTTCCCATTCCACTCTGCAGCGGCCCGACAACACCCTCGATATTCCCCAAACCACGACACGACCGGAAAATGCCCCCGTTCTGCCTTATCTGTTTTCGCGACTGGACAGTAGTACCTCAACTGTACCCATCTATACTGCTCAGCGGCCTGACAATCCCCCTACCGTGCCTCAACATACCGCACGATTGGACAGCGGCATCTTGACTGGTCTGCCATTACCTACGCAAGCGGTTGACGACGGCTCCTTTAATCTTCCTTCGCTCACTGCGCGTCAGCAACTGAATGAGCCTACAGTTGACGTTAACGATGGCTCCTTTAATTTTCCTTCGCTCACTACGCGTCCGCGAATGAATGAGCCTACGGTTGACGTTGACGATGGCTCCTTTAATTTTCCTTCGCTCACTACGCGTCAGCGAATGAATGAGCCTACGGTTGACGTTGACGAT